CGGTGGTGTTGTAGTAACAACCTGTGGTGGGTGTGTGGCAGGAACCGGTGGTGTTGTAGTAACAACCTGTGATGGGTGTGTGGCAGGAACCAGTGGTGTTGTAGCAACAACCTGTGGTGGGTGTGCGGCAGGAACCGGTGGTGTTGTAGTAACAACCTGTGGTGGGTGTGTGGCAGGAACCAGTGGTGTTGTAGCAACAACCTGTGGTGGGTGTGTGGCAGGAACCAGTGGTGTTGTAGCAACAACCTGTGGTGGGTATGTGGCAGGAACCAGTGGTGTTGTAGTAACAACCTGTGGTGGGTGTGTGGCAGGAACCGGTGGTGTTGTAGTAACAATCTGTGGTGGGTGTATGGCAGGAACCGGTGGTGTTGTAGTAACAACCTGTGGTGGGTGTGTGGCAGGAACCGGTGGTGTTGTAGTAACAACCTGTGGTGGGTGTGTGGCAGGAACCGGTGGTGTTGTAGTAACAACCTGTGGTGGGTGTGTGGCAGGAACCGGTGGTGTTGTAGTAACAACCTGTGGTGGGTGTGTGGCAGGAACCGGTGGTGTTGTAGTAACAACCTGTGGTGGGTGTGTGGCAGGAACCGGTGGTGTTGTAGTAACAACCTGTGGTGGGTGTGTGGCAGGAACCGGTGGTGTTGTAGTAACAACCTGTGGTGGGTGTGTGGCAGGAACCGGTGGTGTTGTAGTAACAACCTGTGGTGGGTGTGTGGCAGGAACCGGTGGTGTTGTAGTAACAACCTGTGGTGGGTGTGTGGCAGGAACCAGTGTTGTAGCAACAACCTGTGGTGGGTGTGTGGCAGGAACCAGTGGTGTTGTAGCAACAACCTGTGGTGGGTGTGGCAGGAACCAGTGGTGTTGTAGCAACAACCTGTGGTGGGTATGTGGCAGGAACCAGTGGTGTTGTAGTAACAACCTGTGGTGGGTGTGTGGCAGGAACCGGTGGTGTTGTAGTAACAACCTGTGGTGGGTGTTTGGCAGGAACCGGTGGTGTTGTAGCAACAACCTGTGGTGGGTGTGTGGCAGGAACCGGTGGTGTTGTAGTAACAACCTGTGGTGGGTGTGTGGCAGGAACCGGTGGTGTTGTAGTAACAACCTGTGGTGGGTGTGTGGCAGGAACCGGTGGTGTTGTAGTAACAACCTGTGGTGGGTGGGTGGCAGGAACCGGTGGTGTTGTAGTAACAACCTGTGGTGGGTGTGTGGCAGGAACCGGTGGTGTTATAGTAACAACCTGTGGTGGGTGTGTGGCAGGAACCGGTGGTGTTGTAGTAACAACCTGTGGTGGGTGTGTGGCAGGAACCGGTGGTGTTGTAGTAACAACCTGTGGTGGGTGTGTGGCAGGAACCGGTGGTGTTGTAGTAACAACCTGTGGTGGGTGTGTGGCAGGAACCAGTGGTGTTGTAGTAACAACCTGTGGTGGGTGTGTGGCAGGAACCAGTGTTGTAGCAACAACCTGTGGTGGGTGTGTGGCAGGAACCAGTGGTGTTGTAGTAACAACCTGTGGTGGGTGTGTGGCAGGAACAAGTGTTGTAGCAACAACCTGTGGTGGGTGTGTGGCAGGAACCAGTGGTGTTGTAGCAACAACCTGTGATGGGTGTGTGGCAGGAACCGGTGGTGTTGTAGTAACAACCTGTGGTGGGTGTGTGGCAGGAACCAGTGTTGTAGCAACAACCTGTGGTGGGTGTGTGGCATGAACCAGTGGTGTTGTAGCAACAACCTGTGGTGGGTGTGTGGCAGGAACCAGTGTTGTAGCAACAACCTGTGATGGGTGTGTGGCAGGAACCAGTGGTGTTGTAGTAACAACCTGTGGTGGGTGTGTGGCAGGAACCAGAGGTGTTGTAGCAACAACCTGTGGTGGGTGTGTGGCAGGAACCAGTGGTGTTGTAGTAACAACAAGCTGTGGGGGTGTGTGGCAGGAACCAGTGGTGTTGTAGTAACAACCTGTGGTGGGTGTGTGGCAGGAACCGGTGGTGTTGTAGTAACAACCTGTGGTGGGTGTGTGGCAGAAACCGGTGGTGTTGTAGTAACAACCTGTGGTGGGTGTGTGGCAGGAACCGGTGGTGTTGTAGTAACAACCTGTGGTGGGTGTGTGGCAGGAACCGGTGGTGTTGTAGTAACAACCTGTGGTGGGTGTGTGGCAGGAACCGGTGGTGTTGTAGTAACAACCTGTGGTGGGTGTGTGGCAGGAACCGGTGGTGTTGTAGTAACAACCTGTGGTGGGTGTGTGGCAGGAACCGGTGGTGTTGTAGTAACAACCTGTGGTGGGTGTGTGGCAGGAACCGGTGGTGTTGTAGTAACAACCTGTGGTGGGTGTGTGGCAGGAACCGGTGGTGTTGTAGTAACAACCTGTGGGTGTGTGGCAGGAACCGGTGGTGTTGTAGTAACAACCTGTGGTGGGTGTGTGGCAGGAACCGGTGGTGTTGTAGTAACAACCTGTGGTGGGTGTGTGGCAGGAACCAGTGGTGTAGCAACAACCTGTGGTGGGTGTGTGGCAGGAACCAGTGGTGTTGTAGTAACAACCTGTGGTGGGTGTGTGGCAGGAACCAGTGTTGTAGCAACAACTTGTGGTGGGTGTGTGGCAGGAACCAGTGGTGTTGTAGCAACAACCTGTGGTGGGTGTGTGGCAGGAACCAGTGTTGTAGCAACAACCTGTGATGGGTGTGTGGCAGGAACCAGTGGTGTTGTAGCAACAACCTGTGGTGGGTGGGTGGCAGGAACCGGTGGTGTTGTAGTAACAACCTGTGGTGGGTGTGTGGCAGGAACCGGTGGTGTTGTAGTAACAACCTGTGGTGGGTGTGTGGCAGGAACCGGTGGTGTTGTAGTAACAACCTGTGGTGGGTGTGTGGCAGGAACCAGTGGTGTAGCAACAACCTGTGGTGGGTGTGTGGCAGGAACCAGTGGTGTTGTAGTAACAACCTGTGGTGGGTGTGTGGCAGGAACCAGTGTTGTAGCAACAACTTGTGGTGGGTGTGTGGCAGGAACCAGTGGTGTTGTAGCAACAACCTGTGATGGGTGTGTGGCAGGAACCAGTGGTGTTGTAGCAACAACCTGTGGTGGGTGTGTGGCAGGAACCGGTGGTGTTGTAGTAACAACCTGTGGTGGGTGTGTGGCAGGAACCAGTGGTGTTGTAGTAACAACCTGTGGTGGGTGTGTGGCAGGAACCAGTGGTGTTGTAGTAACAACCTGTGGTGGGTGTGTGGCAGGAACCATTGGTGTTGTAGTAACAACCTGTGGTGGGTGTGTGGCAGGAACCAGTGGTGTTGTAGTAACAACAAGCTGTGGGGGGGGGGACTTTATTACCCTAGTGTTGGTAACCTAGATTAACCCAGTCAAGCCACTGTGTCTGGAATATTTACCTCAAGTGTCCCTTGAGCTTGTTTGCCCAGGATGCGACTCACAACAGTCAGCTAACACCCACAGCTAGGTCAACCAAGACAAAAGGTTTGAGGGAACAAGCTTAACATTTTCACTTGTGCTGGGATGTAACCCAACCACTTCAGATGTGATTCAAAGCCACTTCTACCTGTGTCAGTACGGTTGGAAACACTAGGACGTGTTTCCTTAAGACACTTTCTGACCATGTTCACCTGTCCATAATATAGGTACCTGGGTGTTAGTCGACTGGTGTGGGTCGCATCCTGGGTGTTAGTCGACTGGTGTGGGTCGCATCCTGGGTGTTAGTCGACTGGTGTGGGTCGCATCCTGGGTGTTAGTCGACTGGTGTGGGTCGCATCCTGGGTGTTAGTCGACTGGTGTGGGTCGCATCCTGGGTGTTAGTCGACTGGTGTGGGTCGCATCCTGGGTGTTAGTCGACTGGTGTGGGTCGCATCCTGGGTGTTAGTCGACTGGTGTGGGTCGCATCCTGGGTGTTAGTCGACTGGTGTGGGTCGCATCCTGGGTGTTAGTCGACTGGTGTGGGTCGCATCCTGGGTGTTAGTCGACTGGTGTGGGTCGCATCCTGGGTGTTAGTCGACTGGTGTGGGTCGCATCCTGGGTGTTAGTCGACTGGTGTGGGTCGCATCCTGGGTGTTAGTCGACTGGTGTGGGTCGCATCCTGGGTGTTAGTCGACTGGTGTGGGTCGCATCCTGGGTGTTAGTCGACTGGTGTGGGTCGCATCCTGGGTGTTAGTCGACTGGTGTGGGTCGCATCCTGGGTGTTAGTCGACTGGTGTGGGTCGCATCCTGGGGACAAAATTGACCAAACTTGCCCGAAATAACAAGAAGGTTTCCATATAGTATAACAATGACAGTGTTTATTTCCTTGTAAAGCTTACCATGTGTGGCTTCCATGTTATTGATGTCAGGCCTGTATATATTGTGCATGTATTTGTAGAAATAATGATTATTATTATTACAATTTATTATTATTATTATTTAGAGCAGTGTTGATAGTGTGGACTGTAGCGGGGAACCTGAGATGTGGTACATAGGGACACTTAATGTTGGTGTGTAGGTGTAGATTATTATTATTATTATTATTATTATTATTATCAAAAAGAAGCGCTAAGCCACAAGGGCTGTACAGCGCGTGTAGGTGTAGTGTTGTAAGGGTGGTCAGTGGTGTGTGATATATGGACGGCTGCCACCATACTGATAACACACCAAGGGTGCAATAATGGGTATATGTTTTAAGCGATGTCTCTAATAGGTTTTAGTAGTACAATACTTGTGTGTGAGACACATCTGTAGTATATATACTCATGCTTCTCACCGTTTATTTCCTATTGTTATGAAGTTATGACTTAGGTTTATGCTTAAATATTTGATGAACAAAATACCATCTTTTGAGCTGGTTCCAAACTTCAAGAGGAGTGCTGCCTTGATGTCCTTGAATGGTCCTTAATCAAAGGACTTGCAACTACCCTCATCTTCCAAAGATTAAATATGTTTCTCATTTCCCAAGTGTTATTTAATGCCCATGGGTTTAATGCTTTACATTAATTGATTGCCTTCATATAGTTTGTGTTTCATAATGTGGTAAAGTTGTGTCCTGGTGGTAGGTGTCTTGTTGACTACCGTACAAGGAAGGCTCATCGCTATGTGATCCGTGACCGTGACTTGCTCAAGTACCTGGCTGGTCTGGTTGTCTTCATTACTGGGTACCTGGCTGCCTGGTCTGCCCTTACTGCCCACCTGGCCACCGAGGGACACTCACCCCTGGCCCTTGGTCGCACCACTGAAGGACTGGCCTTTACTGTCTGCAAGAGTGTTTGGTGGGAGTACGTCACAGAGTCTGGTAGGTTGTCTACCAAACACTTAAATTCTTATTATCATTAATAACCTTACTGATCAGAGTCAGAGCTGTGACTTGCAAACAGAGGATCAAGCCTCCACCACTTGCACTGTATGGTCCACACAGGTTTGGAGCTTCACGAAATGTAGTACTATACAATACTTGTGACCATCACTTGAGTTGTACAAGTGATACATGCAATCCAAATAAGATCAAGGAAGTAGTATTTGTGTACAACTTGTTGTATTGTACTTTGTTATCCCCTCATGTGGAGTGTCTTGATGCCAACCTTCCCTTTTCTAGGATCGAATCTAATTGCTTCCTATTCCCCAGGTACTATATGACCCCAATGTGTTTAGTGCTTTCCCTGATTAAAATTATTACGATCAAAACCAAGCACTAAACCCAAAGGGTCATACAGCACTGGCCTGATAAAAAATGAAAAAGAATGAAATGCACTATTAACAATTTTTTAGTAATGCGTGGTAATTTAAGCTTTGTAACTGCATTGTTAAATACATCATGCAGTTTGTAAGGTCATGCAAATGTTGTGTTGGACACATTAAAGTCTGGTAATTACTGTAATAACAAACACTCAACGTGGTAGACTCGGATCCTTCTTGGCAAACCCAGAATTATATATCTTAATTTATGTAAATGAGATTAAAAAATATCACTTGTTATATCTCTAAGATTCCATAGAACATTACTGAATGAAGTACAGGCACATGTTAGTGGTCAAGAAATATAGCTCAGCAGATCTTGTAGATGTGTAGCAACAGCCTGCATAATGTGTAGTAAAACAACCTAAACTAGACAAATGCACACTAGAATGATAACTGCAGTGGCCTTTATCCTTGAAATCATAACAGGTCTGTCTTATTTAGATCCGGTAAAGTAGCAACTGCAGCTGTTCATGATTATGTTGGCCCAGACTGCTCCTGGCCTCGCTTCTTTAGAAATAAACTGTTACACTATATCCCTCACCTCGAAAAAGTGTCATAAGATAAGATTTCGTTTGGATTTTTAACCATGGAGGGTTACCCACCCAGGATAACCTAAGAAAGGCAGTGTGTCATTGAGGACTCTGTCTTATTTCTATTGAGTCCTCAATCTTGTCCCCCAGGATGCTAACCACACTAGTTGACTAACACCCAGGTATCTATTTGCTGCTAGGTGAAGAGGGCATCAGGTGTAAGGACACGTGTCGAAATGTTTCCACCCCACCGGGAATCGAACCCGGGCCCTCTGGGTATGAAGCAAGAGCTTTGCCAGCCAGGACATGGGCCTCCCCCCTCCCCCACCTCGCTACTCTTAAATCTGTGTAACCTATTGCTTGTGATGATAGTGGTGAGCCTCTATCTAATCCCCACGAAAACATTATATACTGAGTCAAAAAAGGAGAATTAGTGTGCACTACCTAGCAGAGTTTACTGCCAGAGGGGAATCATAGGCCTGTGTTCTGTGTGCAAATAATAATAATAGAACTTTTCTTTGTTAGAGGAAAGAAAGTCTCCCTGACAACATTGTGTATACATAGTGTATAGTGTATACTACAGTGGCTCCTTAGTATATAGATAATAAAGGCTAAAGTGTCATTTGAAAACAGGTGAATTTGTAAATGAAGTGATAAGCCTATAGAGGCAGGTGCCAGAAGTCGCCAGAAACTTACCACAGTGGTCAGCTGTTTTAATAATCTTCCTGGCCTGCTAGTGTACTCGCATATAATCTAGTGATACCAGTGAATAGCAGAATACAGTGTTGTAGTAGCAACTAACCAGTATTATAATGGTACTTAGTGGAGTGGAGTGACTTTCATTAGTTTCTTTTTTCTTGGAATACCAGACGTATACTATGAATCTCGTGTAACCTGTAGTTACCAGCGGTCGCAATATTCACAACGAGAAGTAATTATTACTACAGAAAAAGCGTCCTTCCTCCAAAATTTCCACCAGTCAACTATAGTGATAATATAGCATTTATTGTGGTGGAGACGAAAAAAACCTAGAAAAGCTAGATACAGCGATTGATAAAAAAAGGGTTGAAGCTCGACCGTTCGTCACTGTAGGAGCTGCCAGAAATCACCGGCTCTTCAACACGCAAGTTATACTTTTGTATCAATCAAATCACATATTACTCGGGTAGATAATTTCAAGTAGATCCTTCATGTGTTAGCCCAAATCACCGACCAGTATGTTTTGAATAAGTGACCCACTGATCAGATCAGATCGACTGATCCGAACCCTTGACTGGTCCGAACCCTCGACTGGTCCGAACCTTCGACTGGTCCGAACCCTCGACTGGTCCGAACCCTCGACTGGTCCGAACCCTCGACTGGTCCGAACCCTCGACTGGTCCGAACCCTCGACTGGTTACAAACGGATTCGTTGGACAATAAAGCAGACTGTAAACGGATGGGGTTGTAGACGCCCTTATCAAACACAAACAATACATATAAATCAGGAACGTACACGGTAAGCTGTCCAATATACAAGTACAGTTAGAAATAGAAATACAAATAGCTAGAGCTTCATTTAAGGAGGTTATTAACAGAGTATTCAAGAGGTTGCTAGTAGAATTACAGTAAATCAACCATTCAAATCATTATGAAGCTGTGTGTAGTCTGTGGTCAGTCAAACAAACGGGCTTCCACATGGATAAATTGTCATTTTTGTGGAAATTGGTGTCACGCCCCTTGTGCAGATATCCAAGAACTAGCTACAAGCAGTATTAAAACAGAGAAGTGTTTTTGGGTATGCCCAAATGAGGAAAATCTGTGGACTAAAATCACAAGGGTATTAAAAGAGGATAACATCAAAGCTGCTTTCATAGACAACCTGGAAGCTTTCTACAACAGATGGGAACAAAAAAAGTCTGGGCTGAATGGTACTGCCCTTGATACTGGCCATGTAGTCAGAAACTGTAAGGCTGGAGATGATGTCCTGGTAGTCAGTAAATGTGGGGCTGATAGTGCTGTCCTGGGAGACAGTAATGGTGAAGCTGGAGGTGCTGTCCTGGGAGACAGTAATGGTGAAGCTGGAGGTGCTGTCCTGGGAGACAGTAATGGTGAAGCTGGAGGTGCTGTCCTGGGAGACAGTAATGATGAAGCTGGAGGTGCTGTCCTGGAGACAGTAATGGTGAAGCTGGAGGTGCTGTCCTGGGAGACAGTAATGGTGAAGCTGGAGGTGCTGTCCTGGGAGACAGTAATGGTGAAGCGGGAGGTGCTGTCCTGGGAGACAGTAATGGTGAAGCGGGAGGTGCTGTCCTGGGAGACAGTAATGGTGAAGCGGGAGGTGCTGTCCTGGGAGACAGTAATGGTGAAGCTGGAGGTGCTGTCCTGGGAGACAGTAATGGTGAAGCTGGAGGTGCTGTCCTGGGTGACAGTAATGGTGAAGCTGGAGGTGCTGTCCTGGGAGACAGTAATGGTGAAGCGGGAGGTGCTGTCCTGGGAGACAGTAATGGTGAAGCTGGAGGTGCTGTCCTGGGAGACAGTAATGGTGAAGCTGGAGGTGCTGTCCTGGGAGACAGTAGTGGTGAAGCTGGAGGTGCTGTCCTGGGAGACAGTAATGGTGAAGCTGGAGGTGCTGTCCTGGGAGACAGTAATGGTGAAGCGGGAGGTGCTGTCCTGGGAGACAGTAATGGTGAAGCGGAGGTGCTGTCCTGGGAGACAGTAATGGTGAAGCTGGAGGTGCTGTCCTGGGAGACAGTAATGGTGAAGCTGGAGGTGCTGTCCTGGGAGACAGTAGTGGTGAAGCTGGAGGTGCTGTCCTGGGAGACAGTAATGGTGAAGCTGGAGGTGCTGTCCTGGGAGACAGTAATGGTGAAGCTGGAGGTGCTGTCCTGGGAGACAGTAATGGTGAAGCTGGAGGTGCTGTCCTGGGAGACAGTAATGGTGAAGCTGGAGGTGCTGTCCTGGGTGACAGTAATGGTGAAGCTGGAGGTGCTGTCCTGGGAGACAGTAATGGTGAAGCTGGAGGTGCTGTCCTGGGAGACAGTAATGGTGAAGCTGGAGGTGCTGTCCTGGGAGACAGTAATGGTGAAGCTGGAGGTGCTGTCCTGGGAGACAGTAATGGTGAAGCTGGAGGTGCTGTCCTGGGAGACAGTAATGGTGAAGCGGGAGGTGCTGTCCTGGGAGACAGTAATGGTGAAGCTGGAGGTGCTGTCCTGGGAGACAGTAATGGTGAAGCTGGAGGTGCTGTCCTGGGAGACAGTAATGGTGAAGCTGGAGGTGCTGTCCTGGGAGACAGTAATGGTGAAGCTGAGGTGCTGTCCTGGGAGACAGTAATGGTGAAGCGGGAGGTGCTGTCCTGGGAGACAGTAATGGTGAAGTGGGAGGTGCTGTCCTGGGAGACAGTAATGGTGAAGCTGGAAGTGCTGTCCTGGGAGACAGTAATGGTGAAGCTGGAGGTGCTGTCCTGGGAGACAGTAATGGTGAAGCTGGAGGTGCTGTCCTGGGAGACAGTAATGGTGAAGCTGGAGGTGCTGTCCTGGGTGACAGTAATGGTGAAGCTGGAGGTGCTGTCCTGGGTGACAGTAATGGTGAAGCTGGAGGTGCTGTCCTGGGAGACAGTAATGGTGAAGCGGGAGGTGCTGTCCTGGGAGACAGTAATGGTGAAGCTGGAGGTGCTGTCCTGGGTGACAGTAATGGTGAAGCTGGAGGTGCTGTCCTGGGTGACAGTAATGGTGAAGCTGGAGGTGCTGTCCTGGGTGACAGTAATGGTGAAGCTGGAGGTGCTGTCCTGGGAGACAGTAATGGTGAAGCTGGAGGTGCTGTCCTGGGTGACAGTAATGGTGAAGCTGGAGGTGCTGTCCTGGGGAGACAGTAATGGTGAAGCTGGAGGTGCTGTCCTGGGAGACAGTAATGGTGAAGCTGGAGGTGCTGTCCTGGGAGACAGTAATGGTGAAGCGGGAGGTGCTGTCCTGGGAGACAGTAATGGTGAAGTGGGAGGTGCTGTCCTGGGAGACAGTAATGGTGAAGCTGGAGGTGCTGTCTGGGAGACAGT